ATGGTCAGGAACCTCAGGCATCACAAACATAGGGCCTTTTTCATGTGAGTCCGTTGAATTACTGTTGTGCCACCACCAGCTCCAGAATTTGCATCATATGCTAACTCATGTTGAGATCCAACAAATCTCAAAATTTAAAGTATCACGGTGTATCAGACTTCATATCATCCAAATATTTGGAGTTAAGACACTCTTTACATAACTACAGCTCAGAAAAATAATTACATCATAATTAATGAATTATTCAATGCTTCCCCCCATGATTGTGAAAAAGGCAATGATTTTCATTCTCATTACTTCTATTTAACATGGTATTGAGTGTGTTTGTAATGAATAGGCAAAGGTAAAAGAAGACATAAACACTGAAAAGAAAGTAATATTTTCACAGATATAATACCAATGTTTTACACAATAGAAATCTTGAGAATCTACAAACACTACTATATACTGCATATTCATCACATGAAACAACTTTAGCAAGAACACAAGATTTAAAGTTCATGTAAAAAATTAATTGTAATTATCTTCTAGCAAAACGAGCAAACAAAAAAAACTAAAAGTCTATTTACTATTGCATATAGTAAATAGACATACATGATATAATAGGTCTTTAAAACTACAATGCATTTATAGTAAAATCTGTAGTTTTGCTTAATAAAAAAAGAGGTCTTAAAGTAATGGGAGAAAGATAGCATATTCGTGGATGAGAAGACTCAGTTTTATTCAATGGTCAGTTCTACCAAATTGATGCATAGATTCAATATAATTCTGATCAAAATCACAATGGGATTAATAGTAAAAATTGAAAAGTTATTTATAATATGGTAGTAAAAATGGCCTAGAACAAAAAAACTTAATCTCGAAATAGAAATCCTGCAATGAAGGACACATAAGAATTGATTTTAAAACTTACTGTAAAGAAACTATTATCAAGATAATATGGTAATAATGTAATAATAGATAAATAATAAATTAACCATTTTGTAGAGCATAGACATATCCTCACATACGTGACCAATTTACTTTCCACAAATGTAACAGTACAATTCAATGGAGAGGGAACATCTTTGACTAGTGATGTTGGAACAACCAGATAACTATATGAAATAATTACAAACTTATACTACATGAAAGCAACTTAAGATGGATCCTAGACATAAATGTCGAAGCTTTTGTGTCTTATATTAAGCTTTTTATTTAAAACAGGAGAATATTGGGGCTAGCAGATTGCATAATGGTTATGTCGCTGGACTCCCACAGAGTGGACTATGGTTTGAGTCCTGGGTCCAATAGCTTAAAACTCACACCACGTGCATGTGTGTGCTTCCCCAAAATCCTGAGAGAAGGAGGAGAAAGATTACAAAGTAGCCATCCTGCCTTTGGGAGGGTGATTTCTCGCTTTCTGTCTCTGTCTCTTTGGCAAGCACATATGCCCTATTATAAAAATGTCTCTCTAAAAAATAATAAAACATAGGAGAATATCTCTGTGAATTTCAAATGGACAGTTTTTTAGAATGACCCTAAATCACTAAACATGACGCAAATAAGTTTACATTGAACTTTATGAAAAATTAAAGTTTCTTTTAATCTCTAAACATTATTAACAAGAAAAATATCAGGGAACTATATTCTCAGTACATGTATCTGAGAAAAAGGACTTGTATCCAGAATATATAAAGAACTCCTGAAAATCAGTATAAGACAAAACACCTAATAAAAATGAGCAGGAAACTTTAATAGAGTGTTAGTTTATTAAAGAGACTATATAAAAAGCTAATGTGCACATGAAAATGGGATACACCATCATCGTTCAACAGGGAAATATAATTTAAAAACACACTAGCATAGCATCATTCATCCAGTAAAACGATAAAATTAAAAAGACTATCAAAATCTGATGTTGGTGAGACTAGAATTATATCTCTCTTACTGCAACAATTATTTTACAAAACAGTTTGGTAGTCTCTTATAATGTTAAACATAGACCTATCCTGTGCTTTACCATCCTGGGTATTTCTGCAGAGACATGAAAATGTATGTCTACAAAAATATTTTACAAGAATATTTGTAGCAGTTTTATTTATAGCTAAGAACTGAAAACACTATGAAAGTTAACCTACAGGAAAATAGGTGAACCAATTACTGTGTATTCATCACCTGAAAAGCTAATTGGCAAGAAAAATAGCTTATTATATGTATGATACATGTGACATTCAAAAACCAAATTAGCAAAAGAAGCTAGATATGAAAGAATACATGCTTTATGTTCCATATTTCTTGATATCAAAAATAGGCATATCTCACCTGCGGTGATGAAAGTGAAAGCAGAGTTTTCCCAAATAGATATGATTTGATTGGAACTAGGTGTAGGAATCTTGCTGAGAGGATAGGAATACTTTCTATTTTTAATAAAATGGTAGTTACATATGTATATACATACATTAAAACACGCAAGTTGTACAGTTCTAAGCTGTGCATTTTACTGTATATAAATTTTATCTTTCTCTCTCCAAAACTGTGAAGGTTGTAGAGTCAGGAATTCTAGATGTGAACTCTAGGTTTTCCACTCACTAAGAGACCTTGGACAAATTAGACAACCTTACAGTTGCAATTTCATGATATGTAGTGTGAAAATAATAATAATCCTCACTTTATTGAGTCATTGTGAGAATCAAGTGAGGTAATCTATGCAGAATACTTACTGCTAAATGCTCAATAAAGTTTTGATAGTATAAAAAGAGAATATAGTGTTTAAAATAATTTATATAAAAATAAAATGTTATTAATGATGAATCAACAATGTTATCATCTAAACAATCCTCTAGAATGTACACATTAAATATTTGAGGTTAAAATCATGCTATTAAAAGTTCACATTGAATCTGTAATTTAAAAGTTAGAAAAAATAGTGCCAGTAAGTGGCCTGGTGACTGTTGCACTGGATCCCAATTGACGAACTGCACAGTTCGAGTCCCGGACCTGGCAGCTTACAAAACTGTGTGCATGCGTGAGTGGGCACGCGAGTATGTTCCAAACCCTAAGACAGTGAAAGGGATTGCTGAGTCACCATTCCTTGGAGGATTATTTCTCACTTTGCCACTCTCTCTTGCATGCACTCTTTAGCAAAAACTTAAAATAAAAAAGGAAGAAAAAATTTTCCATAATTTAAAATATATTTTTATTATAAAATAAATACAAATATGTTACCCAAATTTTTAAAATTAGAAACAAAACCAAAAATCATTCAGAATACCGCAACTTAGCATACTCACTTTTACTGTCTTTTATTATTACATTTGGTCCCAACATATAATATAAATAAACTTACTTTCATGTTTTTCCATTAAATTGAATAATTGAACTCATAGATGTTAGTATTAGTCTTTTTTCTTTACTTTTTGTAGTTTTTAATAGCTTATTTTCTTGTTTTTTTCTCTATATTTAAATAATCTAAGCTTTATTAATACAAATATTTAGATTTTAAGGTGATAATACTATATAACAAGGTGTTAGGATTTTCAGATTAGTTAAACCATGGCATTTTCAATATTTAATGTTATTACTAGTTTTTCTGTTATCTGGTGATCTTATTAAATATGACATATTTCTGATGCATTAAATTAGTTAATGTCCTTGTCAAATTTCTTTATAATGTTAACTAAATTAATACTTAATTTAAATATAAATTATTAAATAATACTTTTTTGCAAATAAGCATTTTATTTTTTATTAAAGTTGATTGAAAAATACACTTTTGGATTAGCAGCAAAATAGTCTGCTAATATACCTTACCCCTAAATTAAGCTGCCTCACAGACCCAATCCCAGTTCTCATTGAATTCTCTCAGGTCAGGGAGTTCAGGGAGGGGTGGTGAGGTGGGCAGACCTGCCCCAGCCGCTAAGCAGACAGATGCAAAAGAGAGAACAGGGGCCCGAGCCACAATCCATTTCTTCTGAACTCTTCAGTTTACTTATCTAGTGTTTGTTTTGCTCAAGATGCCATAGAGATGTGCGTGGAGAAGGAATGAGTTGGTAAATTTAGGTTATTTTTGGTAGTTCCTAGTTGAGAGATCAGAGAGTATAATTATTTCCCAGCCCCAATTCAGACGACAGTAGTATTTTAGTGGGTTGGCACTATTTTACAAAATTGTGGACTGTTTACCATCACTGAAAATGGGGAGCTGTCATATAAAATTTCATATTTCTGACCTAATTTTACACATCTCAGAGCTTACAAATCTGGATTGGAATTGCTTATTTCCACCAGCCAACAATGAACTGGAACTGAAAAGCAGCTAGTCCTTTCAGAGGTAGACTGCAAGTTTTCCACAGACACCACCCAGTCAGCCTCATTCAGTTACCTGCCCAGGGCTTACTCCTTCCTCCTTACTAAGAAAGGGAAATAAGTAGCAAAGCCAGAGAAATTGCACTTGGCACGATACTTTTATATATTAGGTACCAAATCTTAGAGGAAGGGAGAAAAACAATTAGGAAAAATATACTGTGATACAATAAATGAAAAATAGGACAGAAAGAACTGTTGCTTCCAGCTTCAATTCCTATTCATTAATGTCCTCTCTCTCTCTCCTTTTTTTATTTTTTTAATGTCATAGGAATTAAATTATTGCATTAGCATAGTCTACTTGGTCTTTTACTACATCTCTATTCTCAGCCATCTTTTTATAAAGAATTATTTATTTAATTTTATTTATTCATTATTTTTAAAAATTTGACCAGAGAGAGACAGAGAGAGAGAGCAAGCGAGAAAACAAGTCACCAGGTCCAGGACTTGAACCATGGTCAACCATGCAGGAGTGTTTAGTGCCTCAACCACCACACCACCTGCCCTTTCCCTTCCCAGCCATCTTTTGAAGTACCTTGTTGATTGTCTTGGGGAAAAAATGAGGTTTTCCTTTTTCTTGATTCAAAGAATAGTTGATATATTATTATTAAAATATAAATCTTTTTCCTTTGTTTTGTTTTGTTTTTGCTTTTACAAAGGCTGAAGAGATAACTTTAACAATTGGTCAAGCATTTGACCTGGCATACAGGAAATTTCTAGAATCTGGAGGAAAAGATGTTGAAACAAGAAAACAGATTGCAGGGTTACAGAAAAGAGTGAGTAAACTAAGCTCATTGTTCACATTTGTGTGATAAAAGTACAGGGAAACTTGCATCTCATCAAACAAATTTAGAAGACCTGCCATTCAATTTCCCCCACACTGATTGGAACTGCTTTCACTGTGTTCCTATAATTTTTCATCCCTGATCCCCTGCACAGTTTGTAACTATTTTATATTGAATTCCCACAAGAACTTAGTGTTCTCATGTGACTTTGCTTCACTTCCTGATGCTTCTCATGGGGATCAGAGCAGCAGAATCAGCAGATGCTGGGTAAGTGGTTTCCCATGCAGATCAGATTCCTCTGTAATTAAATTACACCCTTTCTCCACTCTTCAAAATCATCATAAGCAAGTTTCACTGTCTTGCGGTTATACTCCAGGATTATGGGTATTGATTACACAGTACTACAAGGAGACACAAAGATGAGGCATTAGAAACATAAAATTGCACACACATAAAGACATATTTCAAGTTTAATATGTCTTTTCAGTGACCTAGAATCCTCCAATATGCCCCAGATTTTATCACATAATTTGATCACTGTGCCCAAAAAGTACATTAAAACTTTAAATAATATAAAATCCTATTCATTAATGTAACCAATATAATAATCAATATTTTCCAAAAAGCTATGAAAGCTATTCAATAATCATTTGCTTTTTAGATCCAAGACTTAGAAACAGAAAATATGGAACTTAAAAATAAAGTACAAGATTTGGAAAACCAATTAAGAATAACCCAAGTATCAACATCGCCAGTAAGTATATTAAATATGTGTGTGTTTTCCTTAGAAATAGATTTTGTGGTGATAAGGCATCTCTGGATCACTAGTCCTGCCATATTTTAAATAATGCTTGGGGATAAGTAATTTAAAACTAAATATGAATAGAAATTGGCTAAACCAGATGAATTTAAAAGTTAAAATTACCTATGTAGTTCAAACCAGAGTTGTTTTCTGCATTGCTCTTTTCCCTTGTGTTTTCTAAAATACTTCAACCTGCAATTAGTCTTTCAGTTTTAATACACGTTTTCTCTTTTTGGCGTATTCTTCTTTTCATTTCTATTGATTAGTACTTACTGAGGTTAGATTTAATGACCCATGCTGGCTTAGCCCTGGAGTGCTGAACGTCATTTATAGGAACTGGGCTGTTAACAATACTGAATCTGGTTTCTGATGTTACATAGCAGGGGTTCCCACTGGAAGTGAGGCAGAGGCCATGGTATTTCAGACAGACACTAAAATGTGTGTAGTTTCTATGTCAGTTTTGATATTCTTTTCCCAATACCACATATGCTATCATTATTACATGATTTTAGTGAGAGAACTTTTTAGAAGTGAGGTAGAATTTAACACATTATTTTTTTGTAGGCATAATATATTGAGGAGAAGACATTTTTTCCCCTCTGAATTATCTGTATTTTGGATATTTCCCATTAAAGTATATATCTCATTAGGTATTTAAAATATTTAATAACGAATTTACGGCACGATTGTATGAATTGAAACACAATTATGCTATTTGCAAACTTTTGAAAACTTTTTCTTGCAAAATTTTGTTTACATATCCACTTTTGTCAATTCCTAAGCTATACTCAATGAAGGTTTTTATTTATGAAGCTTTAAAAAAATTTTTTTAGGCTTTTTGCCAAAGCACATGTGTGCTCACTGGAAAGAAACAGGGAGAGAGGAAAAGTGAGAAATCACCTCCCCAGAGAGGATAACCACATTGCAATCCACTTTCTCCCCATTCTCCTCTCAGTATTTCTGGCATCATGCACATAACACCTGGCATGATTTTCAAGCCCAGACTCGAACCACTGTCAGCCATGTGGATGTCAAGCACCTTTACCACCATGCCACCTGCTGACTCCCCAATATTTTGGTATTTCATATAGACTATTTCACCAGTTTATCACCGTAAAGAGGAATACTTTTTTAAAAAGTTTTTTTTTTAAAAAGAATTTTTTCATTTTATTTATTACTACTACTATTATTCATTTTAATTTGACAAGAGAGAGAGAGAGAGAGAAAGGGCAAGTGAGATAGGAAGTTGCTAGGTCTGAGACTTAGACTGTGGTCAGCCATGTGGGAGTTGAGGGCCTTAACCAGTACACAACCTGCCGGCCTCTGTCATAAGTGTTTTGTTTGTTTGTTTGTTTGTTTGTTTGTGAGAGGTTTTTGCTATCGCATGTGCTCGCTCGCCAGAAAGACAGAGAGAGACAGAGAGACAGAAACAAGAAATAATCCCCCAGGGGGGATGACCATGCTGCAACCCCTTCTCCTCTTGGGATCTTGGGCATGCACGCACCCATGCCAGGCATGAGTTTAAGCCACCGGGTCCAGGATTTGAACTGTGATCAACTATATTGGAGTCCAGTGACATAGCAATTACGCCAACTGCTGGTCACCCCCATAAGAAGTTTCATTTAGGGTTTCAAACTTGGCATTCTTGGCAATACTTTTTTTTAAACCCACACTTTCCCATCTTTTATACTGGAAGAGTTGATATTTCTGTTGTTTGGTATGTGTTTGTAACATTGGGTCTGAAATGGGTGAGACAGAGGGTGGGAGTCAGATAACTATGTGCACCTGTTTTGCTCAGGAAATAGCAGGAGCATATTTTTTAGGTTCTGGCTTTATTGTAATTTCCCTTTTCTGTCTCTCTCTCTCCCTCCCTCCCCCTCTCCCTTCCTCCCTCTCTCCCTCCCTTCCTTCCTTCCTTCCTTCCTTCCTTCCTTCCTTCCTTCCTTCCTTCCTTCCTTCCTTCTTTCTTTCTTTCTTTCTTTCTTTCTTTCTTTCTTTCTTTCTTTCTTTTTTCTTTCTTTCTTTCATGTACTGATCACTAAGAGTATGCACTTTTTTTTGTCTTCCTTACCAGAAGGGATAGATTATCAGCTCAGTCTCCTTCGATCTTCAGTCTCAAATTGCAGCATATACTCTTTTCTGTCTCATTTATGTTGAGTCTTAATATATGCATGCTGTGCAACAAACTAGAAGCAAAAAAGATAAATACAAAGAAATTACTTCTTTTCAAGGTGCATTACTAAAATACTTATTTTTGGAATCCCTCCTATTGGAGAGTAGTTTTCCTTCAACCTGTGTCCTGAATACAAAGGATTAAAAATTGATACATCATCATTTTGGACATAAAGGATGTTCACCTTGTATCTTCTTTTTCTTTTTTAGAGCTTTTTGTTACAGGGTGCCTGCGCTCTCCAGAAAGACAGAGAAAGACAGAGAGATAGAAAGCGAGAAATCATCCCCCAAGGGGGATGGCCTCACCACAATCCCTTATCCTCCGTTTTCCTCTTGGGCTCTTGGGCATGCATGCACACGAGCCTGGTGTGAGTTTAAGCCACCGGGTCTAGGACTCAAACAGTGGTCAACTACGTGGGAGTCCAGCAACATAACCATTACGCCAACTGCTGATCCCTTGTATCTTCTTTTCCTGAGGAAGGAGAACTGAGGATAATATTTCAGGGGACAAAGTAGATAAAGAGGAGTAAAGAGATTTGAAACATATTGATAAATTGGTTCCTATTCCTCTCTGCCCCAAAATTGTTACTACCTTGGACTAGCACTGGAGTAATTGAGAAGAAAGTGGGTCAGGTTTGGGGTTATGAATGAGCATTGGTGGCTTCACATGGTCAGCTTCAGTAATGGAGGATCCTTGCTTCAGTTTCTTTGGCCGTTGAGCTGAGATAGCCATTACAGGTTGTAAGCATGAGAGTTGGTATCTGAATGAAACACGGATTACCAGTCAGTATATTCATTTGATCGGCAATTCTCATTGGTAGAGCCAGTAATGTAAAAACAATAAAATTTTGAAAATAACCAGATTTTACAATGAATTAGCTCTCCTGAAGTAAGGATATTTTTTTCCATTGGCCCTATATGAATCTATTTGAATAAAATGTTTTAAATACAACTAAAAAAATTAAAAAAATAATAATTTTTGATATAACAAAAATTTTCTCTAATAAATCACATATTTATACCTAACATACATGTGTAGAAAATGAAATACATCATTGTTGATTATGCATGGAATTCAGATGATAACTTTGCAATCTACTTATTTGCCCCATTAATGGCTTTATTCCTTTTCTTTATTTTATTTAAAAAATATTTGTCACATCTCATTAATCTCCTAAAGTCTTATCATATCTTTTTTTGTTTTTTGAAGAGGTTTTTGCCACAGGGCACCTGTGCTTGCCAGCAAGGCAGAGAGACAGAGAGATAGAAAGTGAGAAATCACCCCCCCGGGGGGAGGGGATGGCCTCGCTGCAATCCTTTCTCCTCCATTCTCCTCTCAGAATCTTGGGCACACATGCACACGCGCCCAGCGTGAGTTTAAGCCTCCTGGTCCAGGACTCGAACTGCGATCAACTACATGGGAGTCCAGCAACATAGCCATTATGCTAACTGCTGGTCCCTTATCATTTTGAAACTACTGATACTATAGCAGATATTTATCTTTTTTAAGATAAAACCTAGGAACATTATGTTAAGTGAAATAAACCAGGCACAGAAAAATAAATTTTGTGTGATCTCACATGGAGATTCTAAGAAAACAAGTCAAACTCATAGAAGCAGAGAAGAGAGAGGCCAGCAGATGGCATACTGGTTATATCCCTGGACTCTCACGCAGTTGACCATGGCTCAAGTCCCAGACCAGCAGCTTGAAATTCATGCTGGATGCGTGTGCTTGCATGGCTGTGATACTGAGAGGAGAATGGAGGTGAAGGGATTGTAGCATGACCATCCCCACTGGGTGGGGGTGAGGGGGTGACTTCTCATTTTCTGTCTTCTCACTTATTGTCTCTCTGGCAAGCACATGCACCTGATAGCCAAAAATCTCTTTCTTAAAAAAAAAAAAAAAAAAAAGGAGAAGTAGAGTGCAGAATGGTCGTTACCAGGTGCTGGGATAGAGTGAGGGATGAGGGACTAGTAAGGTAAGATGAAGGGGAAAGGGTACAACATTTCAGCTTGACCGTCAGTCTTGTCGTACTATGGTAAAGGGAGCTGAATCCCATGTGGCCCATTCTAGTTCTAGCTCTAGTGGCTTGAAAAATGCTGGGCACATACGCATGTGTGCCCCAAATCCTGATTAGATAGAAAAATGAAGGAAAAATGATTGTGGTATGACCATGCCACAAGGGGGGGTGTGCTTTTTTTCTCTCTCAACATCTCTGTGGCAAGAGTAACCACACTGACACTTAAAAAATAATTAATTAATTAAAATAAATAAAATGAAGTTACCTACAATTATTTAGTGAGTAGGAAATGTCTCCACACTTTTATGTTATCTTCTTTTGAACAATGGTTAATGATTTAATGTATTGAATTTAAAAATCAATGAACTTTACAAGTAATGAAAACGTTAGCATCTCATCCTTAGTGGCTTGTCATGGGTCTGCAGTGAAGCAATTTTCTCAGAAAAGTTTTACATTTACTCTTGTGAAATTGCAACATAAGTTTTACAGGATACACAACAGGAACACAAATCGCCTCTCAGAGTACCCCCACATGGCTAGCAAAATAAATGGCTGTTGAATTTATAACACTGGAATTGAGGTTTTTGGGATTTTGTTAGTTTTGAGCTCAGAGAACTGAAAAATAGGATGATCTGAAATTGCTCAAGTTCTAAGCAATTTGTTTGAAAGATTAGAGATAGTGAATTTATACATTAATCAAAAAAGTCTTGAAGTGAATTATGAATCCTATTATGCCCAACTAAGATTACAATATAGGTG